CTCAAACTAGGTTGCTAAGATAATGCACTGATCAAATGGGTTCATGTTCCATTAGTGTGGCTTGGCTGAATTTTGTTTTCCCGGTTCGAGATTGAAGCTAGACCGTTGATCACACGCCATCAGATGGTGGTGACTAGATGTGGCATGTAATAAGCCCGGTTTCGGTAATCTCTGACACTCTTCTTCTTTTTTGTTTCTTGCAATCTTATCTTTTATTCTCAAGCATAGTTTATAGGTGTTTCAATGACATCAAGTTGTTAAGATCTTGGTTTTATTGTTACGTAGATTTTATTTTGAAATTTATTTTATTATAATAAATACCACCTGTAAGTGATCTTTTGCCAAAAAAAAAGAGGTGAAAAGAAAAAAAAATGTATTCCCTAATAAAAGATCACATAGGTCTTTCTTTCAAGGCATACCTTGAAATATGTCGTTTCAATACCGAAAATCTTTATGATGGATTGAAATTTTATTTTCATCTCTAACTATGATATTTCTAGCTTAAAAAATAGTGTATATCGAGCGGATATATTAACACTTAAAAATCTTGAAAATTGACGATTTAGATCATGCATTATAAAAATGCACTATTTTTAAGACTTGAAGTCCATCGTTTTTTATGCTCGTGTATCTCAAGGTCAAGATGATTGAATTTGAGGATTTTTCAGCATCGAATTTGAGTATTTTTCAAATACAGATACGTGGGGTGGACAATTCTGCCTCACCAATCCAAATTTTGAAACACTATTATGGATGAATAAAAATAATATAAAAAATTCAATATAAAATAAGGACACGGTTTTGGTACGTCAGTCGACTCACCTAGTACCATACGGTCCCTAGCCTATTTAATGTCCATCTCTAAAGTGGATGTCAAAAAATATTACATTCACATAGTTAAAATCGACGGTGAAGAAAGGATTTCAAAAACTAATATTTACATTTTTTGAAAAAAAAATTCAAAATTTTAATGGTGGAGATTTAATTTGAATATGTAGAAAGACAGCACAAAACTAATGTGAGTCGGTCGACTCACCAAACACTTTTCCAATGATAATCCTCTAACCTCGTGTTTTGGGCGAGAAAATATTGGTTGATGATAGTCTTCCAAAACCCCTCTAAAGTTGTTTAATCTAAATGGGTGGTTTAGACTGTATATCACATTTAATTTTTATTATTTATTTTATAAATATCTTGAGGTAAAATTTTGGGATGTATCCACTTCTCCTATAAGTACACCTAAGAAAATTTGTATACATGAAAACCAAAATAATCATGCATTTTCCATGAGAACGAACTGTACAACATGATCATGCAGGACCATAATATGGGGAGAAAATGAACAAGACAAGAAGGAAATTAACGCTCTTGGGAGCGCGTGGGGCCGGCTTGTACAAGTAGCGTAAAGACCAAGTTAAATATATACAGTTGGGCACAATGTTTACCGCGAGACTCGGGAATTGGTACAGTCCGTGTCGGTTCCAGCACAAAATCAGAAACTGCCTGCGGTTTTTAAGTAGAACCATTAGTTTTCATCCGGTTCAGCCCGATTCACACACGTAACGCATGAGAACGAACTGTACAACATGATCATGCAGGACCATAATATGGAGAGAAAAAGAACAAGACAAGAAGGAAATTAACGCTCTTGGGAGAGCGTGGGGCCGGCTTGTACAAGTAGCGTAAAGACCAAGTTAAATATAAACAGTTGGGCACAATGTTTTAAAAAACGGTGAGATTCGGGAACCGGCACAGCCCGTGTCGGTTCCAGCATAAAATCAGAAACCGCCTGCGGTTCTTGAGTAGAACCGTCGGTTTCCATCCGATTCAGCTCGATTCACACACGTAACGCATGACACGCACGTGCAAGCGTGCCCCACGCACACTCACGCGTGTGCACGTGTATCCCAGCGTACGCGTCAGGTTGCCCTAATATTTTTGCACACATATTATAATTTATATTACATAGGTATTTATATACCAAATTTGAATACCTATTTTTCGATGTGGGATAATTTCCAAACATCATTAAATGAAACGAAATGTAAATATAGTCTATTAATCAGCAATTTATAATCATATGTAGTTATATGGTTTAGTGGTTATGACTTTTATTTATTTACTTGATATCCCAAGGTCGAATCCCCTTGGGGTCGAATCCCCTTGAGCATGTGTTGCATTCGAATCCCCTTGAGCATGTGTTGCATTTTTGTTGTGTATATAGTGGGTGGTATAAGTATAAATATTTTTGTTGTATATATAGTGGGTGGTATAAATATAAATATTTTTGTTGTGTATATAATGGTTGGTATAAATATAAATATTTTTGTAAATAATATAAAAGACAAAAAAATAAAAAATAAAAAAATTAATTTTTTATATAACAGTTAATTTTTGTTGTATATAGTGGTATAATTATTTTTGTAAATAATATGAAATGTATAAAAAAAATAAAAATAAAAAGTTTATTCTATGTGAAATCTCCATCTTTCTACTAACAATCTCTTTTACTAAATTTATTACAGAAACCTAAAAAAATAATTTTTTGAAAAATTGAAGTGTTATTTTCAAAATTTATACGTATTTTATTAATTTTTACATTGATAACCAAATCTTTTATTTTATTTATGAATTTTTACATTATAAATCATATAATGTACTACTTTTCTTACAGTTGTCATTAGATAATATTATAAAATATTTTTAATTTGTTATTATTTATCTAATAAAATAATTATAAAATGTAAACTAATAATTATAATTTCAGTATATAATATTATAATTAGTGAGGTTGTAATAATTTTGGATTATAGTTAGTTAAGCTGTAATAGCTTGGGTTTTTTTAGCGGATTAGGGATTTTCGCCAAAACGAGATTTTAATGGCCATTCTTTCATTGATTAGTCTACTCTTTATAATAGTCCATATATAATTATATATTTTATCCATGATAATTCTATGATTTTTCTTTTATTTGATGCAAATTTAATAGTTAAAATAAGCTTATACAGGGAAAGAGCATCTCAATATTCACAAATTGATAAAAAAAATAAAAGTTAATAATGCAGTACCCTCATTTTTATTGGATTCCTAAAAAACAACATTTAGAATGAATTTTATTAATTTTTTCGGATTTTTTTTAAGCTTTAATCCAACCGATTCAGTCGATTCCCGATCCGGATCGCCGATTCGTCGATTCGGATCGATTTTTGAGGTGCCCGATCAGAGTCACCGATCCGCTTTTTAAACCATCGGTTGGGCATAATGTTAGAGGGAGAGCAGGGTGTTGCATATGACTAGTGGAATCTAGATTGAGACAAGCAAACCGACATTTTGGGATTAAAAGAAAGATCGATTAATAGCGGTTAATCGGATTTGGCCCAAGAAGCATTTTTTTTTTTTTGGCTAAGTGGGGATTTTGGGCCTCATTCATTGATGAGAATTACGGGGCCTTGGCAATATTACCGCCAAAACCCCATGTTATTCTTGGCCTTGATTCACTTCAACTAGCCTAACTGGTAAATCGATCGGTTCAACTGTTCTAATCAAACAAGTCAAGCCCCAAATAATTAAAAGTATTAAAAAAATATAAAAATATTAAAAAAATCTAATAAAATATGAAAAGTATACTAAAAGAAAGAGTAAATAAAAGCACGTCCAAATAAAATTGAAAATTAATGAAAAAATGAATTTTAAGTAATTGTTTTGTACCCAAAGGTATTTTTGAAATTTTCCAAAAAACAATAAAAAAACTTTCTATTTATTTTTACAAATTTTCTATATTTTTTAGAAATTTTTTCAATTTTTGCCATATTGATGAAAAACATAAAAAATATATTACAAACAAAATCTCTCATTTTTTGAGATTTTATATGTTTTTTAAAATTATTTTAAAAAAACCCGGCCAATCATCAAAACTGACTGAAATCGGAATCGGCCAGTAGCTGGTTTTGGTCCAACCGATAACCGGTTAGAATGACCAATTTTTTCAACAATGGGTTAGACCACTATCGCTGGCCCATGGGAAGAGTAGAGAGAGAAAAGCACGTGTAAAGAAGAGGGAGAGTAGAGAGAAAAATGCTAGGTAGAGGGGTCGCAATGGTATGGACCCAAAGGGTTTGAGAAACTGTATTTCTGTATACATATCTCATTATGAGTACATAATGATGTATATCAATATAGATATACATATTCTAATATATGGGATTTAGCGGGTTGGGTCCGGGTCTAAATCTTGGACCCAACACTATTCAGGTGTTGGTCTAGGTTTGGGTCTGACAATATTTTTCGGATCCTAATATATAAAATATATCTAAATATAGATAGCTACACACATGTTCTAATTTTTTGGTCATATCCAATTGGATCTGGGTCGGGGTAGTTCAGTGAATTTGGATCCAGGCCCCAAGTCATTTTTTTAGGTCCGGACATCACCCGACCCATTCGATTATTGTTGTCTTAGAGAGAGAGTAATACATTTTTGGACCGTCAATTTTCAAGATTTTTTAATTTTCATAGATATACTTGATCTACATTATTTTCGAAGGTTTAAATTTGATAATTAGATATGAAAATATATTTTAAGCACATCATAAATATTTCAGATATTGAAACCCTATTTCTCGATACTATTTGAAGGTGGCTTATCGTATAGAGCCTCTGTCCAAACCGCACCTTTAATTTATTTAAATTTTTTCTATACAGAAATAGTTTAAATGGGCCAGCTTGATGGCCCTTGAATACGTGGCCGATAAACGTCCAAGCCTAGTCGACTTTACAAGGTCGTCGGCCCAGGCCGTCTCAAATACGGCGCATTAGGTAAATCGGGCCTGGACCGGCGCACCGACACTTCTATCATGTGAGAAAAGAGGGAGTTATGTGACCTCACTGGTTAGAGCGAGAGTGTGGTAGAGAGAGAAAGAAGACAAGTAATTGGTTAATATTTTTCCACACCCTTTGTCTGGGCTTCAAGTCAATTCAACTCAAAATAAAAATAAAATTATAACCCTGACGAATGGGCTTTAATAAACCCTAGATCCAAGAAAAAACCCTTGTTTTTTACACTTTAATTGATGGGTGCATTAATTGGGTCTATAGATCCAAAGCTCAATAAACGTTGCTCACTCTCCTCAGCTCTCCGCTCCCAGCTGACCTAGTTTTCTGCAACTCAAAACCCTAATCTTACACTTCTTCTTCTCATTAGGAAAACCGTAATTCCTTACGATTTCAGTTGCATCTTCACCCATCAATCCTAATTCGTTTGCATTTTTCTTCTTCATCTCAGAGCCGTCTTTCTTTGCGGCCAATTCTTGTTTCACAGTCGGTAATAGCGTTTCCACTTTCAAAACCCTAATACTCTGGTGGGATTAACGAGTTGGAGCCATTTCTTCGCCATTGGAACCCTGGATCTCTGAATTCATGTCTTTTCTGTTGATCCCCTGATTCTCTGCAACATTTATTTGCATCCGAACCCTAGTTTTTGAGATAGTCCAATCCTCTGCATTCACAATGCTGGGGCAGGCAACAATGGGCAGATCTTCTGGTTTCAACCCTGATGCTTTAGGTCACAATGCCATGACCATTATCACCAACCTTTGCTTCACTGTATTTGTGGTCTCTGTGTTGATCTTCACCATTATAGCTGCAACTTATCAACCTGAGGATCCCCTTTTCCACCCATCAACAAAGATCACAACATTTCTCACCTCGAAATCAAATGCCACATTTCGATCCGATGATTCGGTTTTAAGAACTGGAGAGGACTTCGTCTCAGCAAACCAGTCTACTTTCTTAACCTTCATCAACATAACTGATATATTTCCAGCTTCAAATGTTACTACTGTTGTCTCAGAACCTATTGAAGAATGCTCAAACTCCATTAGAGATCCAATTGATTGCACAGACCCTGAAATCTTCCATCTCATGATGAGATTAGCCATCGAAACCTTTAATGACATTCATTTTTACAGGTTTGGGAAACCAGTGAGGGGTCCGAATCTCACCACCTGTGATATGGCATGGAGGTTTCGCCCTAAGGAAGGTAAGGCCGCTGCTTTTTACAAGGACTATCGTAGTTTTGTTGTTTCTAGATCAGAGAATTGCACATTTCGGGTGGCTTCGATTGGGGATTACCATTCTGGTGTCTATGCGAGGAAGAAGCAGAAGGGGAAACCCGGTGGCTTTGGGCCCAAAGCTAAGGCGGTTCAAGCTGAATCACCTATTTTGCTCCCTGTTTTGGGAGAAGCAGTGAATGATTCGGTCCCAGTAATCGAATCAGAGAGTGGGTTTAGCAGTGGAAAGTATCTATTGTACAATGGTGGTGGCGATAGATGTAAAAGCATGAATCACTTCTTGTGGAGTTTCTTGTGTTCATTGGGTGAAGCCCAGTATTTGAATCGAACACTGGTTATGGATCTGAAGCTGTGTTTGTCTTCGATTTATACTTCTTCACGTAAAGATGAAGAAGGAAAAGATTTCAGGTTTTACTTTGACTTTGAGCATTTGAGAGAATCAGCTTCCGTTTTGGATCAAAACCAATTCTGGTCAGATTGGGGAAAATGGCACAAGAAAGATAAGCTTAGTTTGTACCTTATTGATGACATCAAAGTTACACCAATGCAGCTTGCTGATATTCAAAATACATTGATAATGAGGAAGTTTGGGGCTGTGGAGCCTGATAACTATTGGTACAGAGTTTGTGAGGGAGAAACAGAGTCAGTGATTCAAAGGCCATGGCACACGATTTGGAAATCGAGGAGATTAATGGAGATAGTATCGGCAATTAGTGCCCGACTGAATTGGGATTTCGATTCAGTTCATGTAGTGAGAGGGGAGAAGGCAAGAAACACTGAGCTTTGGCCCAATTTAGCTAAGGATACTTCACCTGAATCCCTGCTCTCTACACTCAAGGATAAGATCGATGCTGGCCGAAACCTCTACATCGCTACTAATGAGCCAGATACTTCATTCTTCAATCCTTTGAACGATAGGTACACAACCCATTTTCTCAATGACTATAGTGATCTTTGGAATGAGAACAGTGAGTGGTATAAAGAGACCAAGGAGCTCAACTATGGAGTGCCTGTGGCTTTTGATGGCTATATGAGAGGGGAGGTTGACACTGAGGTGTTCTTGAGGGGGAAGAAACAGATCGAGACGTTCAACGAACTTACTCGAGACTGTAAGGATGGGATCAACACATGCTCTTCTTGATGGGTACTCTCTCCCTCTCTCATGCATGTTCTGGTCATTGCTTCTGTTATGTTTGTCAGATTAACTGAGGTGATTTCTTAGGCTTTCGGATTTGTTGTTTAGGAGAATGATCTATGTACTGCTTGTATTTGGGTGCCATCAAATTGAGTATTGTAGGTTTGATAGCCATGTAATATCTCTCTTTTTCCTTTCTTTCAATTGTTAGTGTTCTGAGATCTCTTATTTGTTAGCAAACTTCATTAGACCTGCCATTTTCCCACTTTAGAAGCTCTGTTTGATACTTGTTACTTTATTTCCTTCATCTTATTCCATCATTGTCTCAGCCTCTCCCTGTAACTATTTTGGGTCTCATGCTAATTTTGTATCCTTGCTACTTTTGGGGGTGGGAATGTAAATTTTGGGCATTTTGTTCTTTTGGGGTTCTTATGTTAATTTTGACATCCTTGCTACTTATGGGGTGGGAATGTTAATATTGGGCTTCTTTTTTTTTTGGTAGTTTGCTTGTTCTTTTTTTTAGTCATGTTAATTTTAAGGAAAATGGTTTGATAGGGCTGCAGCCCTATCAAAATAAGTAAAGCCTCACCTCATAACTGAACAAAAATTGCAATTCAAGCATTAGAAAACATTTACATCAGCCATCTTGGCTTTAATATTGTTGTTGTGAAAAAAAAAGGATTTCAAAATCTAAAAATAGTGTAAATTACAAATTATCTAGATCGTTCATTTTCCCTAAAATTAAGTGTTACCATTTTTTGAGGTTTGAAATTCATTATCGGTATTGAGAATCGATTTTACATCCATCATGAAAAGTTTCGTTGTCTAAAGTGCTTTGCGGACTAGGATTTGAGGTTAGGCTTTATTTTGTTTTCATAAAATCCTTATAGAAGCATCATCCTAATTTTAATGCTGTTGCTATTTTTGGGGTTATTATACTCTCTCTTCCCTTCTGGGACCAAGAGGCAAAATGTGAACCAGAAGCTTAGCTCATTGTATAACTTGAACTCTAGCCTTGAGCTTAGTTCACCTTCTCACTGTACTGTTACAGCCAGGGATCTGCCATATCAATGACTCAATGTATACTTTCACTGATATAAAATCATTAATTAAAAAAGATACGGAAGTTCTAGAAAAAATTTGGGAAAATCTTCCAGAATTTAGAAAAAACCAGGAATGTTTTAGGACTCGAAGATGATTAAAAATATCGAGTTCAGAGTTTGCGCATTAATATTTTAAGCTTAATTGAACTGAATTTCATCTCTACCATAATACCACACCAACAAAACTTCAAATAACCAACCTTACGGTTTGGAGTACCAAACCCATTCATTGTCAACCCTTGAATTTCTATATTAGAGCGGCGGATCCATTAGCAAGTAATAGAATCAATGTTTCCAATCCATAAAAACAATTAATACACTCAAAAGGATCAAGTGGTGAATATACGGTGTAGGAAAAATCGAATCGGAACGGTTAACTAGACATGGGGCTGGAAGTAGTTCAACCGATATAACCAGTAAATCGGCAAATCGGGCTACTCTGGGGCAGCCAAAAAAGTGTTAAAAAAATTAAAAATACAAAAAACATATAATAAAATATGAAAAGTATATTTAAGGCACGTATATCCAAATGAGGTTGAAAACTAATGAAAAAATAGATTTTGTACCCATAGGTATTTTTAAAAAATTTCAAAAAAGCTGGAAAAATATAAAAAGTAAGTATTAATGGCCAAAACAATTTCCAATCTTTGCCAAAATGATGAAAAACGTTAAAAAAATACATTACACATGAAATCCCTTTTTTTTAGGATTTTATATGATTTTTTTAAAAAATATATTAAAAAGATCCGACCGGTTCACCAAAACCGGTTAAAACCGAAACCGGCCAATGGTTGGTTCCGATCTAACGGTGCGGTTAGAATTTGAACCACCCAATATTTCGTACACTAGTTATAAATAAAAGGAAAAAGAGAAAACATCATTAAAAGTTTTGAATTTTCTTTCTCAATCAACTCGGAAGATCTCATTTATCAAGGTTTGGTTAATTGGGGTTGGCTACATGAATCATATTTTTCAATTCTTCTCTATCAAGGGTCATACCCTCACTAAGACAACACATGTTCAATATTCATGATAAGCTGCGGTAAAGTTTTACACCATTTGCCTCTTTAACCTGAGCTTAGGAAGGCTTGAGGAAAAGTTTAAGATCCTCAATCTTCTTAGACCTACAAAAGCAGGAAATTTAATGAGTATTTAAAGGGAATAGCATTTTTATAAATAAAATATTGAAATAGTTGTTACCATATAAATGAGATCTGCTGAAAGATTAAGAATGTTTAAACAATAAAAATTGTATGATTATACTATAGTAAAAAATAATTAAAAAATAGAAAAATATTTTAAGAGTGTTTTAGGATCCATTGGTGTGGTACATGGAGCACGAAAAGGCTTCTATCATCTTCTTGCTGATGGATGGTGGAGATTGATTGTAGTGGGGCCCACTTATCAGTAAAGAGAAAAAGATTTACCGCTTGGACATTCACCTAGGCTGAGTTGATTCTCCACTGTTGATCACAGCTAACAGAGATGCTCATGTCTCATTGGTGCCCTGTAAACCACATTCCAATGGAGTATGCAAGACCTTTTCCGATTAGAGAAAGTGTACTGTACATCTCATGGATTATGCTGTGCTCATAGTCGGGCTGGCTCATGGCAGTTACTGACTTTATGGATGGTGATGGAATGGTAATGAGGCATGATTCCTGTGATGCAGCCCACTCTCTCCATCACCGTCCATTTCATTGTATGGTGATGACCCCGATGTCCTATGGTGCCATGGTCCCTGGATGATAGTATACTCAGCATTTCGTATAGGAAAAATTGTTTCATGCCAGCTGGTCCGCATTTCTAAATATATGGTCCAAAAGTATAAAGCATCCATGTTAAAGATGGATACATATATGTGGTACATCTAAAAACAATTGAAACTAACGGTCTAAATATTTTTTTTAATAGAATTATTATTTTTAATTTTCAAAAATAATTTAATTTTTCATATTCATGATCTCCATGTTAGACATATCCTTAAAAATTAAATCCAAAAATTCATCTCAAAAATAAATTTATTAAGGGACCCGTATTTCTACATGTGTGTTTGGGCCGCATGCTAACTTCTATTGTATAATGGGAATTGAAGCACATCTAAATGACTTCAATTAAAAAGAGAATGTTTAGGCCTCGTTTGGTTCAATTATAACAGTTTGCATTATTTGGCTTTAAAACACTTAGAAACTTGCATTGTTAACCTGAGACATGTCTAGCTCATGGCCATGAACCACTTTGTTTAAGTTGAAATCATAAGGGACCAGAGTACTAAGCTTATTTTTATGGCAAAATCTTGGTCTTTTTGTTCTATAACTATGGTTTAGAGAGAGAGAAATGCAAATGGAGCATGGGCATGATAAGTTTCAATCCAATATATGAAGATGAACCTAGCTAATTAGTCGGGTTCGATGTGGTTTCAAACACAACATTCTTCAGACTGGTTGATGTTAATCTTGAGAAAATCTCCAGTTCCTGGTCGACCCTGTTTGGGGCCATGGAAATCTGGATTGAAAAGACCCAGAAAGTGCTGGAGTCTCCCGAGTTTTTCACAATATTAATATTTTTCATATTAAAAATAGCACTATGTAACTCCGAATTTTTCATATTAAAAATAGATCTACGTAACTCTGAATCGGATTCGCTCACGGTGGACCAGGGTGACTTGGGCTCCAGGCCATTGGATGTCGGAGCCCAAATTTGACTTTTCAGGGACTGGCTAATACATTATAGACGTGCATATTTCAAGAAATGCAAGAAAGGAATAAAAATAGTGATATAGTCCCTGATTTGCAAGTATCGAAACTTACTTCCTCTAGGGCATGTCTCTTTGATTGAAAGATTTCTTTCCAATTTAGTTAGTGTATCACATTTGACGGACAAGAACTTTGATTTTTTTCCGTCTTCCAATAAAGTTTCTATTCTTTTGTTAAAACATAAAAAGTTTAAGTTTCTAGTGTGAGAGAAAGAACTTGATCTTTTTATAATGTTTTTGTCAGTAGTCCCCATTAACTATTTACAATATAACATATTATATATTTTATTTATATATAAATAATATATTTGATATATAAATTATATTTTAATAATACAAATTATTAATAAATAAATAATATTTTATATAAATATTATAATATTTTATATTATATAATATTAAATTATATATGTATAATATAAGGAAAAAGTTTATATAAGGATGCTACCTTATAATGTAGAACTACAGATGCCCCTCAAAAATTCATCGAAAAAAGTAGTTTTAATGTTGAAAAACCCTTTGATTGATCATCTCGACATCGAGATGTATGACTATGAAAAATATAAAAAAATTTAAGTATCAGAAATAGTGTATTT